AGCTCTTTCAGCTCTTTCAGTTTCAGCTTTTTATCGATACCCGCATTGAACAGCAAGCATCGAATAAATGAAATTTGAAACGACCACGACAACGAACCATGTACCCAATCGTGTTCTTCACGGTTACCTACGCCATCTTGAAAGATAGCCGTGCCTTTGCATCGATGCGAGACGAACGTTGAGCGTGCAATGATAGAAACTTTCTTTCACACCTACAGACAATTATTCACGGGTGTCTATCATTGCACGCTCAACGGTCGTTTCGCTTCGATGTAAAGGCACGGCTACTTTTCAAGATGGMGCAGGGAACAGTGAAGGAGACTATTTCTGTTACTTAATATGTAAAGTACAGAGAGAATAAAAAGTAATAATTATCGTGATGGAAAACACTTCTAGGCATGGGTTTAGGTGCACTTTAAGCCTCGTGCCAACCTGTTGCCATTGACGGTAACAATTACTGGACGTCAGGTAACAGTAATACAATAAAAGCAATCATTGCCAATATTCACGACTTTCCATACGCAGGTCCAGTGACCACGAACAAAGCATTGAACCGAGGCGTCAAGGAACACTATAATCACAGATCATTTTTTTATGTTCTGCGTACCTTGACGCCTCGGTTCAATGCGCTGTTCGTGGTCACTGAACCTGCGTATGGAAAGTCATGAATCTTACTTATAACGTCTGTCTTTATCCCTGCCTTCCTGAAAAGTGGAGCTACCAGGCTGTCATACACCATGGGTGCCTTGCCTTTCTTGCTATGAGGATTGATGAATACTTTCAATTTGCTCGGCCGGCCATGGAGACCTAGCACAAATTAATAATCACACACTTCAGGCTAGTAACGAGGTCTTGGGATCAGGGATCAGCGTCATTTTTTGGACTATTCTGGGATCAGGGATCAGGATTTAGGCTCAGGATCCGGATCAAATGGATTTAACCTGGGATCAAAGGTTTTTCAACTGGGATCGGGATCAATGATATTTTTCAACGATTCTGTAAGGGGATCAGGGCTCAAAATGTACGGAGTTTTGGGATCGGGATCAGGTTTTTAGGCCGTTTTGATCCGGATCAACAGCAAAAAAATATACCTCGTTACTAGCCTG